CCCGAGACTTTCACACATTTTTAATCCAAAATCGAGCTGTCGCCTGAGACTTTCACACATTTGAAATGCAAAAACGAGCTCTCGCCTGAATTTTTTCCTGATTTGGATTGCCAAATCAAGCTCTCGCCTGAGACTTTCTATCAAAACAAGCAAAGAACAAAAAAAATCACAAAAACAAGAAAAACAAAAAAATCCTAAATTACTTCTGCACCCTTATGTTTGCATGCCTATGAAAATGCGGTGGTAAACAGCATAATCCTGGTTATGGGGACCCCCGAAAAAGGTACCCATAACTTTGGGAAGCCTCTATATTTTGCAGGTCTGTTTTGCTACAGCCGCTGAGACCGCCGAAGCCTCGAAAACACCATATGTCCCAGGCCGGGCCCGGGAGTGATCCGTCTTCGAGGTTTAGGGTTTGGGGTCTAGGGTTGAGGGGTTTGGGGGTTTAGGGTGTGAGGTGTTGGGGTTGTATTTCTCAAAATAACGTTCCCAAATACAGCACGACAATGTGGCAGCACCTAGACCACAACTTTGAGAGACCAAGAACGGTAGTTTCCCTAGACAGGGGGACACCAATATAGACCTTCCAAATACTATCATTCTTATTCTGGGGACCCCCTAAAAAAGAACCCGTAATTTTGGGAATCCCCCCCGTATTTTCATGGGGGAGACACAGAGCCAAGCGTAGAGCAATTTATTGGTGCAAAGCCTGTTTCCACAAATAGGGAAGGCCCAATATAGACCCCCAAATATTAGCATCCTTGTTATTGGGACCCCCCAAAGGTACCCCTAATTTTGACCCCTATATAACCCTTTTCAAGAGACCCCAAATTTTGGGAAACCCCCCACATGAATTCCTTCCAGGCGCTGGCAGAGTCCATGGCCCCTCGCTCGCCGCAGGCCAAGGACCCGGCCATGACTAGAAGGTCGCAGGGTCTCGGGTTTAGGGCCTCAAAGGACGTCGAGTCTATGATCTTAACAATTGCTAGTAATAGTGCTAAGAATGGTCTTATGGAGAATTAAATGGAAAAGAACATGGAAGCAAGGCGTCTTTACGCCTTGGGGCTTAAGGGTAGCGACTGTAGGGTTTATGTTTTAGGGTCTGCAAGGTCTACAGTTCAAAGACTTTAAGCTTGTACCCTTAATGTTTGTACCCCTAAGTTTTGGGTCCCAAATACTTTTATTGAGGGCCATATTCCATGGTTTAGGGACCCAAAACCCAAGGGTACAAGCCCTAAGGGTCCAAAGGGAAGCTCCCTGAACAGTCTAGAGGCCAGCAAGGTCGAGAGGAAAAAATGTAGGGCTTGTTGGGGACAACCTCCACAATGCAGGTGATTGTAAGGATAGTTTTGGGGTCCCAATCCCCTAAACCCTAAACCCTGAGATGTGGGAATGGTAGGGATCATGTAGGATCTTCCTGGGCTTGAATATGAGTCTGGAACAGCAAGATTTGCTGTGCTTGGTAGGCTTCAGGCTTTTCCGGGGATTTCTGTAGTTTGCAGGTCTTTATAGTTCATAAGAACAAAACGAGGATTCTTAGACAAGCCGAACTTAAGGATCGTTGCTTGAAAGTTTCAGGCTTTCCTTTATTTGCCTTTTTAGAGTGTAGACGGGTGAGTGTACTTGATCGTCGTAAGGCTGAACAGTTTTTTTTTGTTGTGTGTTTTCACCGTTGACCTTGGCTTGCTTTTGAGTCTTAAGGCTTTGAGGGATCCTGCAGGCCTGATCGAGCCGTTGAATTTACGAGGAGATGTCTCAGATCCTGATAGCAGAAAGCTTGCAATGCCTATATGAATAGACTTGTGTAATCTTGAACTGTAGCTCCAGACTCGGTGTCTTGCATATCTGGTGTTTGAGCAAGCGGTCTGACTTCAAGCCGCTGCCAGGACTCAAAGAAGCTGATGCGATCAGGACTTCAAGTGCCCGTTTATTTCCCCTAAGGAATGTGGTCCAGCATGCGGGGTGCTTTTCTGGCAGGAACGGCGCCAGCCTCTTCGGCTGCTTGGGGTCGTGCTGCACGTCCAGACTCTCCCACGGCTCTGCAGAGACATCCGAGCCTAGGGTTTGACGACTTCTGGCAAAATTATATTCAGAGTTCATAGCCAGAGCCACAATCGCAAAACTAGCAGGGTGCCCGGGGTCGTCTACAAGTCTTTTGGTGCATCAGCCTCCCGTCTCAGGAATCACATCATTTGCTTGGAGTAGATCGATCCCATCTTCAGGCCCATGGTCTGGCCTCTCCAGGGTGGGGGCTATATAGGGAACAATGGAAAAGAAAATGGAAACTATAGGGATTATAGGGATTATGTAGGGGTTATTAATATTGTTCGGGAGGTTTTAGACGAAGTGCTCGAGGTAAGCTTGGCCTGCTTGGAGTTGAGAGCCTGGTACTCTACGCCTCTAGGTTTCTTTCCTTCAAAGCACACCCTTGCCATCCCTTGCCACTACAGTTTCAGGGGATGCAAAGACATGCATTGGCTTAAAGTGCCCTAGAGCTTGATAGAGACAACAAAATACATCTAGCGGTCTGATTCCTGAAGCAGTCTGCTTGAACCAGGAGCCCGGATTTGGACTGGGCTCCCGACTGTCCAATGCTCAGCAGGTTGTATGGGCAGTTCCGAAATTTAAGGTCGAATTTTGGTATCCCTGAATATCAGCTGCCGTGATAGAATCTATATCATCTTATATCCAAAAGGGGGCGATAATTTTTTGAACAACCCATAGAATTACACCTCAGCAAAGCTCAAGGGGCTCATCCCGGAGTAAGGATTTACTCAACGTGTACTTCCTTGTTGGCAAACCACAGCGATTATGCCCTGGCCCATCATCCGCGAAGGAGCTTTCCACTATTTGGAATATCTTCCTAGTAGAGGAGCCAAATAATAGGGCTTTAGGGTCCAAATACCATTGATATTATAGCATTTGGGCCCTGAAACCCCATTTTTTGGGTCCTTGGACCCTTCGGGGAGCTTCCAAGTGAGTCGACTGCTTTTGTTGACGGTTCTCAGCAAGTGGTGCTCCGATGCCGAGGCACTTCTAGAACCTGCTGGCTGGCAGCAGCACGGGGTGACTGAAGGATGTTTTGCCCTCTCAGAGTTGTAGCGAGTTTATAGCAGTGGGTGTCTCAGCAGGCAGCCTTCAGGCATTCTGAGGTTATGCAACGGTTCCAGCAGCAGTGGGAACAGTCACAGTGCAGTCTGAATATAACCTCTATAACGCCTATATTACCCCCATTGGGGTTATACATATATATATATATACACATAGATATTGGAAAGGAACATGCAAACTAGTTTAATGGGGGTAACACGGTAAGAATAGAAGGCATCAGCTTGACTCCGGCGAGTTCTGCCCAAAGACAGAGTCAGCAGAATGGCTCACACAAAGGGGAGCCCTCTTTGAACCGGCCCTGGGTAGACCGGCATGATTTTGCACGCCTTGGTGGTTTGAAAGCTCAAGAGAGCCTAGTGTCAGAGAATCTTTGAGACGTTTGTTGTTCTGCCCAATGGGTTGGACTAGCCTGGACTGCTAATCAGCTGCTCCAGCTCATTGCAAGCTAGCGGTACTCCAACTGTGTCACCGTGATTCCGCCAAAGCGGATGGGTGCAGATGGGCCGAGACTGCTCGTCCATGCAGCTTCATGTCTTCCAGGACAGACCCGTAGCCTGTGCAGCTTGCAGTCGTGCAAGGCTTCCCATAATAGCTGTTGGTCGAGGATTCTGGCTCAGATTTTCCGTTCCATCGGTCAGGCCTAGGGCAAGTGGCCAAATGCCTGTTGATATTTGCTGATGAGCTGCTGCACTTGCTTTTCCTATCCGGGGGCCAGCAGAGTCAAGGCAGGATTCATGCTCCTTCGTGGAAAGGCCTCGACGCTTGGAGATTTCAATTCGAAAGGCTCACAGCGAAAGGGGTTTCTCTCAGCTCATCTCAAGAGGCGGTTGCCAGCCAAACAGGATCCAAAGAGGTCCTCTGACCGTGGTCTCAAGTGACTAGACAGCTACCGCTGCAGAGTGGACGGCAGGCCAGAAAGGATAACGCTTGTATCATCACTTTCCATTGTCTGGCTCTCAAACGTTATAGTCTCAACCCCTTGCAATTCCTACGATGAAGTCTCGAGCGACAAGCTGAAGCTGGTCTAAGCTCGGAGGGTCAGGGCCCCACATGCCCCACACACTTGCAGCATTGATGTGTGCCTGTGCGCATTTGTTGTGCAGTAGCCGCTTAGCCATTTCTGGCTTCAGTATAGCCCGTAGCATGAGGCAAGCGACAGTAGGTTGCAGATGAACATGGGAAAACTTGACAGTCATGGTGAAAGTACACAAAAAGAAGCAGTCTTGAGCAACCTTACTTGGTTCCACCACCCCAAAGCATTGTTCACTTTTACTAGGACTTGCGCAGGCCTGAGGTGGAATTGCGCCCCAACCGAGCATCATCCATCACTGTTTCAGCTCAGCTTGAGGGACGCGGTTATGGCCCATATCATGGCTGACCGTCGTCGGTCCCGAAGTCGAAGCCCCGTCAGAGGCCGGAAGCTTGATACGTTTGAGTTGCTTCATGCGAGCTTGATGGTGGAAAGCCTGAACGGTCATGAGGCTTCAAGGGTTTTTTCCTGTCGATGCCTGAATGCCTTGGGACATGAGACCCCCAACACTAAGCATCCCTTCCCCAAATCAGAATTGATGCCAGTGATTTCACAAGGGTTCACATTCTTAGTTGGATGCGGCGATCACCTTTGGGGGATCTTGGGTATTGGCCGTGAAGGAGACGAGGCCGAGAAGGATGAGAAGGACGAGAAGGAGGAAAAGGAAAAAGTGCCTTTGTCCTCGCTCTTGGAGGCGGGTCTGATATGCTAATACTTCTGCACTGTTGCGTCCTTTATGATTATGGGTCTTTTATGATTGCCGGCATCTCCCCATCATCTTCGCGGTGGTGGGTTGTTGTGGTGTTGTTGCTGGTGCTTGCGCAGCCGCTGCCACTACTGTTCCCGTGCTTAGAGGAACGAACCGAGATGAAAAAGGAAGACAGCAGGGGAGGGATCTCATGTGTGCGGATTGCTCTGATGCCAGATTGGCGTGGAAAAGGGCCTCAGCCTGAACGAGGCCAGGGAGCTTCCGCATGTCCTGGCTTTTAATCACAAGAAGCTTTCCACTAAAGTACGAAGAGCAAGAGCCATTGCAGTCACAGCAGCAAGGTAATGCTGCGAGCCCTCTTATTCCAGAAGGCTTGCAGCATTGGAAGCTAGCATGAACTAAAGAATGCCCTGGAAACAGAACTTGCTGCTCAGAGTGGCCCGTCGCCGCAAACCAAAGAGAGCTGTAGGCCCTTGGCCTGGCAAACAATATCCTCACTGGCCAGCTCAACAGCAACCAGATCATGGATGCCGGCACTTTGGCTGCTTTAGCTCGGGCTGGGCAGTTGTGCTCTATTGGCACTCTTAGTCCTCGCCGTTCCAGGGGCACTGCTGTCTGCTGCCAAAGTCGACATGGAACCGCAGCCTCAGCAGAACCAAGCAGAGGCCTGCCAGTAAGCTTTTCGAACTGAAGGCTTGACGATGAGCCGATCTAGACAAGCGGCTGTACCCCATTCTTGCTTCAATTGCTTTGCGTATGAACACAGGTCGGGATGGTTGACCAGCCTGTCCCAGATGCAATTCAGGCCGACGAGCTCAGCCACTGAAATCATTTCTCGTGAAAGAACAAGTCCCTGTTGCAGGGATTGATGGGGGACCTGTTTCATCAGGAGGAGCGGCAGGCTGAGGCCGGCCCACGATGTGATGTAGATCAGCGTGTTTGTGCAAAGGCAAGAGTGCGCTTTGAGGATGATGCTCCAAAGCCTGTAGATGATCCTCTGCCCCTGGCGGTTGCTGCGAGCCCCGAGGCTGTGCAGCCTCTTCATCTCTGAACAGCAGTGCTTGGCTTTTTTGGTTGCCAGGCAAAAGCAAAGCCGTCCGTAGCCGAAGAGTTCCTGAAGTCTCTGGAGCTCGTGTTGGACAGGGCAACATTGAGCTTGAAAAGAAGCTGACCTTGGTCAGGAGTCCATGCTGCAGAGGCTCAAAGAGCAGCTGGAGAGTCTCGGCTTAAAGTCTGGACAGATGGGAGGAACGGGCGTCTGCATGAACTGAGTCATTCTGCTGCTGGACTGTAGTACGGCGCAACTCGAGAGCTATGAACGAAGGGGCAGGAAGCGCAGGTGGAAGATGATAATTTGAAAGTGTGTAATCCGGCCTGATTGAGGGAATAGAGAGAAGGGGAGGTGAGGTTCTGCTTGCGCAACATCCCTGCGCGCACTCAGCTGAACTGCCTGCAAAGGGCAATCGGGATCGGCAAAGGAAAGGAAACCAAGTGGCCGAAAATGTGCCTCATTCCGCTGGTGACCATTTCAAAGCACAGAAAAGCTCTATCCAAAGGGCTCTAAGGAAGCTTGCTGGCTTGAAGCTCCTTCATGACTTGGGCGCTTGATGCCCAGCCTTGACATGGCGGGAGCTTAATGGAAGTAGAGTGGCTAAAAGAGCACCTAGTGGGGCATCCTCCAGACAGTTTGGAGCAATCTGCCGAGGATGCTTCGAAGTCGTCCGCCTTCGTCGGAGCGGTTCAAGCTCTTGCAGGAACTTGTTTCATGACATGCAGAGCTTGGCCAATGAGGTAGCAGCGACACAGAGTGTTTAGCATTTTTTTCAAAATGCCAGAGTGCACTGGATACAACGCTTCATGCTGAAGCCTTGCAGTCGTTGAGAGGGCTTGCTGCGGCACTACGCCCAAGTGGTCAGCAAGCACGGGAGCTCGGACTACCCACACATTGCAGATGGGCATTTGTTGAGTTCTGTGGCCAATGCCCGCTGGCTCCCGGCACCTAAAACCCTTTCCAAGGTCGGAATGCAATCTGAGCCGATTAGTGCCGTTTGAACCGGTGGAGGCCCCGCACCAAAAGCTGTTCCTGGGAGTGTCGCAGGTCATTTGAGCTGGAAACATCCATGTGCTGATAGCGCAGATTATGATTATGTTGCCTTCTTCTAGCGGTGTGTTTTCAGCTTGCAGGACGTGGATGCCCTACCTTCAACAATTCAGGCAGTGAAGGAAGACAAGACCTTTCTCTTTAACCTTGGAGCCATGTGCAGCTGCCAGTTGCGTGGCTTCATGAGATTTCTCTGCAACAGGGCCCAGCCCCCGGCATCGACATGCGTGCCTTGTTTTGTTGGTGTATTGGACCTTGCAGCTGGCAATTTCTAATTTTGAGGATTTCAATGTGGATAAAAGCACCAACCTGAATGGCAAGCCGGTGTACAGAACCGAGGACTGAATCTGTATCATTTTGTCGGAGACACACAAGAATGCTAGCGCAACACTGGGGAGTTTCTTTGCAGATGTACGGATGGACCCTGCAGGACGAGTTTGAGGAGTACTTCCTGTACTGGACTGCAGCTAGGATTGCAGCCAGAAACCGATGCACAGGTGTAGCCCTTATACGTTACATGGTGCCTAAGGGCAACGGCTGGCGGCTATGTCCGCGGATGCAGCAGGAGCAGCATAAGCAGCTTTGAGGGGCGTGTAGCGTTGCTTTTTTTTCAAAAGCATGTCCTCAAGTCCAGAGGCCCTGGAATTCCAGCGTGACATGCTGCATGCCGTTCGATGGGGTGCGACAGAGTATGTGGCCGAACAAAGCGAGGACCGAGTGGCCAAACGGCGCATCTCGTGTATGGATTTTCGTTGAGCATGTCATCTCTAGCTGGTTGATCGAGAATCTAGATGCACCGGACTGTCTGACGCGACCTGCGCACGCAGCAGGCCATGGACACAACTGTCTGGACGGAGCTCTACGACGATGGAGGCTGCTTCGCTACATGCCCCTGCCGGCAACACAATCTCCGGACTAAGTGCAACTCCCTCTGCCAGGATACCAGATGTTACACATCCAGTTGGTGCCTCAGACTGCGTGGTGAAGCAGATGGACAACAGAAGGGTGGACATGCGCAAGCTGCTGAGCCGCCGTGCAGGTTCAATCCTATCTTTTTAGACACACGTCAGCCGAAGACGCCGCCGCTAGATGGCGCTGGGAACCTAGCGTGTCAGCCAGGGATGTCATGTCGGGGCAGAGGAGCGTTGTGAAGTTCACAAACTATGCAGGAGGATTTGGAGGAGTTTATCGTTGACAAGACGAACTTCCCGCGAGGCCGAGCTTGGGACAACAAGCTGGTCTAGAGGGACTTGAGACCTGCAAGCAAGATCTTGAATTTCATAAGTCCAGCTGGGGGTCGCTGGGTGGCATTTGTGAGACTTCAGGTCGTCCTCCAAAGGGCTTCGAGGCTGGCTTGTACTACCACTTCGACAGAACCTCGGGCAAGATTGTTTGGGCCTTAGCTCTCTTCATCAAGCAAACGTTCTGAAAAGGGTGGCTGTTATCTCACGTGATCGATGACGTTGCTCAGTTATGCTTCCCACCTAGGACCGGAGTCTACACGAGACCTGGGGTAGTATCGTGAGAGGGATTTCCCGCGGGACCTTCATCAAGGCTGTGGCGGCTCTGTTTCTTTCCCGTGGCTTTCTCTTTTTCTGGCAGGTGGACGCGAAGGGATACCTGCCACGTGTCCTGCGCGGCAGGCAGTTGAGCCATTCACGCCCTGAAGGGATCCTCTGATCATTGGGTTGGTCGGCTTGGAATGTGCAATTTCGGGGTTGCATCAGCCTCCTCCTTGACCAGGACGGTGATCACGGCCGTGAAAGACATGGACCCAGAAAAGTTGAAGTCGCTGAGAGAGGAGTTGGACGAAGAAGAAGAATAATGGAAAAAGACAGCACGGTACTTGTAGCTTGAACACGCATGTTGGATGATGTTGTCTGGCGTGCTTGCAAGGATTCTGCGCTGCAGGTTTGTTTCACCATCTAGCTCACACATCGGCATTCTGTAGCCACTCAGCTTCCATTGAAGTTCGCTCCCGGTGTGACCTGCCCCTGGCCCCGGAAGCGTTTGCAGCGTGAACCTCAGTCTCTGTAATAGGTTTCCAGGAAAGCCTCCTGCCTCCACATTTCAGGTGTCCAACACCTGAGCAATACTTTCTGTGTACAAAGCCCTACACAAAGTCCCTGGTGCTGTCTGATCCCAATTCAAAGGCCTTGGATGTCCAACATGTTCAAGATCCGCAGCCTAGCAGCATCACACATGGTTAAGGAGGGTCAATCGTACGTGAGATCTTCAAAGCTGTTTCTGCAGCCTCCCTGTGAAGAACATCATGCAAGCTTGGGATACAGTTCCTGTCAAACGTAGTATGACAATGCGATGTGATTTGAAAGTCCATCAATACGAATGAGGGCAACGCAAGCAGTTTACGTCAGCCACAACTTGTTCACCCTGAAAAAAATTACCACCAAGCACCTGGCAACTAGTTGAGTGCGGGCGCATGGGTCGCCCTGTTGCTTTCTATCGAAACCTAGGTTCGAGCGCGACTTGTCGGAAAAAACAGGGTAGTCGGACGTCCAGGTAACTATTGCGGTCAGGACAAGATTTCACTCTTTGTTACATTGTGTTTCGGTTTCTGACATTGAGCGTGTTAACCTGGATTCCGCAACCCGCAAAACGTGAGAAACAAAAACGCGGTGAATACCAGTATTTTGGGCATGGTCGCCAAAGGCATGGACGCTTGTAACAGCTTTCCTTGTTCCACATCCTTGTGCAGTATGTTGTGCAAAGACGCAAACAACTTTAAATACCGGTGTTTTGGACATGGTCGCGAAAGGCATGGACGTTTGTGACAACGTGTCTTGTTCCACATCCTTTGTGAAGTGTGTTGTACAAAGACGCAAAAAACTGTAAATACCAGTGTTTCGGGCATGGGCGCAATATGAATTACGTTATTAACTCCCCACCCAAACCCCCCATCCCCACAGTCGAACGAAAGCTGAACAAAACCTGCAAAAGGCTTAAATACCTGCAAAAACACAGGGCGACTATCGCGCCCGCCACCAATTAGGTCACTCGTTACCCCCTGCTCACCTCCTTGGTTTTGGAGTGGCAAGGTAGAGTTCATGTTGGGGTAGAGGGTTTCCTGGGCACTCAGGCCGAATTATGTCTCGCTGGGGCATTGTCCTCGGTCTCTTCACCACCGCAGTCTGCAGCCAAGCGGACACATCAATCCAGGAAGACCTTTCTGCACACCTGTCGCGCCCAGGCTGCCCTCAATGTTGGACATGAGCAGTTGCGCAAGGCCCTGCAAATCTTGCAGATATCTTTTTACAAAGCCTGTTGAAAAAACTGCGGAGAGTCTGCTTTCTGGCAGCTTGGCTGCGCCGAGAGCGAGCTGTTTCTGCAGAGAGCAAGAGACGTAAGAGACAGGTCAGTAGACTGGAACCTGCGAGCTTGATTGCTGCAGCCAGGAGACAGGCGTTTTGAGCTGGGAAGCCTGGAGCCCGGCATGCTCCGAAGCTGCCGATTTCACTGCGTGGATGAATGAAAATTATCCTGAGATGAGTCTCTGCAAGCACATGACATGGACTGAAGTAGATGTGAGTAGTATTTTATTTAGGGATATTATGGTACCCAATATAGAGTAAGATTATATCCTCCTTTTGGGTAAATAATCTTACTGGGTTTAACCACCAAAAAACCATTACTCATGTGCTGATTTGCAAAGGCATCTGACAGCCTCCGCAACCAGCTCTACGTCCTAGCAGGAGTTTGCCCTTGGCTTACACAGATTTCCGGCTTCTTATTTGTTAGGGGTTAGGGGTTATATAAGGATAATATTGGGGTCCAATAGGGGTAATATTGGGGTCGAAGAGGGGTAATATTGGGGTTGAATAGGGGTAATATTGGGGTTGAATAGGGGTAACATTGGGGTTGAATAAGGGTAATATTGGGGTTGAATAGGGGTAATATTTGGGTTGAAGAGGGGTAACGTTGGGGTTGAATAAGGGTAATATTGGGGTTGAACAGGGGTAATACTGGGGTTGAACAGGGGTAATATTGGGGTTATATAGGGATAATATTGGGGTTGAATAGGGGGTAATATTGGGGTTGAATAGGGGTAATACTGGGGTTGAACAGGGGTAATATGGGGTTATATAGGGATAATATTGGGGTTGAATAGGGGGTAATATTGGGGTTATATAGGGATAATATTGGGGTTGAATAGGGGGTAATATGGGGTTATATAGGGATAATATTGGGGGTAATATTGGGGTTATATAGGGATAATATTCGGGTTGAATAGGGGGTAATATTGGGGTTAGATAGTCGGGTGCATTTGGGTTCTTTGGCCGGCCTTCGAAGGCTGCTTCGCCTTGGCGGGCTCCTTGGTCTTCTTCTGGACCTCAACGCCAGGATCCGACAGGACCCGGCTGTGCACAGGCTGATGGTTTGAGTCTTTGAGCTTAAGCGACTTAGCTATATGCTATCCCCCTTGCCATCCCCAATCTTCGTTCCTAGTTCCAACTCAACCTGTATATTTTATGGATAGCAAAACTTGACAGCAGACATGGCTGACGCTGCAGGAAAGAGGTTGACGAGAAGGTTGCTGAGGCCTTGTGAGGGGGTTCACTCGTTGTTTTCATTTACTACGTTAAACCATCTAGGCCATCACCACAACTGAAATTGATATGGTGACCCCATCGTGGTATAGTGCATGGCTCAGAGAGTGTCTGCGAAAGGCCATCCCTGCCACGGTGGATGAAGAGGACCCTGGGCAATCATGAAAATCCGGAATGCAAGCACCCATTCATGGGGCCGCCAGTGCCGCTGAGCGCCCTTTGCCCCGTGCACCGGCCACCTTGCGCGGTCAAGGGACCCGGCTGACTAGAGGCCTAGGCGACAGGAAAAAGTGGCTTCAAACACTCTTTTGGCATCGGTCAAGACCTGGGAAGGTCCTGCTCAACAGGCTGTCAGACAAACATCGCATGCAGCTGCATATTGAGAGGCAGTGGCAGCGGCATATCATTAATGCGCAGGATGCCGGTCCGTCCTTGGCCGACTATGAGGACCCGTGCGCAGTGTGGCAAGGTTTGGGGGGATGACGCCCGGCTTGTCTGCAACGAACCGATCTTTCAAGCAGCCGCTGAACTACACCTGGCCCACGGCAGCCTTACCCTTCAGCTGCATGCAGCTCACGTTACAGCAAGCAAAGTGGTGTGCGAGGAGAAGTTGATGTCTTCAGACCTTTAATCATGCGGCAGCTGCACCCTTGCGAGGACCTCGTGAAGTCGGTGCTGCAGCGCACTGCGGACCAACTCGGACCGAAAGTGGCAAAGGGCGCACAGGCCTTTTGGACAGTAAAGGTTGACAGAAGATCTTGTCCAACAGCTTGCCAGATTGCTTGAGACACGGTCCCGCTTCTTGTTTCGCATCTCCTCAGATTGCCCTGTCATGCCTCGTCAGCTGATTCAGGTTCAGAATATTCTGAACGACAAGGTTGGCTCCCTCGCAGACAAGGCGAAGGCCAGATATCCGGGGCAATGCAAAGACCTTTGTCTAACATGAGATGGAATGCTTCGAAGCTTCTTGCAGGCCTTCGTGATGACGGAACTCACAGACACTGTTGGCTCCGTGGCAACTGCCCTGCAGATGGAGGTTCCGGAATGAACCGACGGTTGACTAGTGGGTCATCGCAGCAAGTGTCACAGCGCAAATCGTGCAAAGAGAGGAATGCTTCCAAAAACGGCAGGAGTTCATGGTGCTGGTGGATGACGTCAGTTGCCCAGAACAGCTTTGAGATGTTGTGTCAAGAATAAGTCCAGGCTCAGATGTTGCTGTTCTTGGCTATGTTGTGGATCTTTATTTGAGGCCCAGTGCTGCACAAAGCTCTATTCATGGTCAAGTTGCGCCGCCAAAGGATGCTGCAGTGGCAGCCAGCTTCCCGCCCCTCTCGGTGCTCCTGGCTGGCCTCCTCGTGCCCGTTGCTTTGCTGCACGACCTTCTCCACCCTCCTTCCCAAAGTCAGCGAAGCGGACAGAGGGACATAGTAAGCCAGCGTTACATTGGCTTTTTCGTTGGAATCTCTATACACGAATCTGCTTACATGGCTCATCATAGCTGCTGCTCGATTTACTGCATGCTGCAAGGCCAATCTGAACTTGAACATTGCCTGCCGCAAGCCCAGTTGAGAATCGCTGAAGTAGGGGTGACGCGCGAGCGCGACGACCCACGAGAGCCCTTGTTTGAAGCACAGGTGGGCACCTTTTTTGCATTGCATTGAAGCCACGTTGCAGGCCACCTTCTGCAGACCTTCATCGTCCTGCTCCCAGTGCTGTGCGTGGTGGGCTATTCCGAGTCGAGCTGGCCATGTTAAGTCTTCCTAGGAAGACTAGGCGCAGTACTTTTGAATTGACGATCTTGTACCGGCCAGGTACGCTGACGCAGGTCATCCTTGCAAGTCCATCCCCGGCCTGAGGAGGGGCAGGATGCACATTTCCATTTTATTTTCGATTTGATTCTCCATTTTTCGGGTTGTATCCTTATATAACCCCTATATAACCTTAATACTATTATACTCCCCCATAATGACTCTATATCCTTTTCAGAGCAAAAGCTGTTCGAGGCTTTGGGCGAGGACTGTCGGGGTGATCGCCGGTCTTGTCACCCTGGCCCGCCTTGTGTTGGCTGCGACCCGAGTGCTGGGAGTATCTTGAGGTTATACAAGAGGATCATATAGGGATGTATAAGGCACAATGGAAAAGAACATGGAAACTACTACTCAGAATGTTTGGTTTATAGGATTTAGGGATATTACCCCGATAACAGAGAATCAAATGGACAAGAACGTCGACAATGGAATGCAAACTAGGGTTACATTGCAACGGCCAAGGGCAGTTGAAGTGCGGCAAGCGAGCAGTCCAAAGACACTCCTGTGCTCAGGCTGTCAAGTGCATGATGGCCAAGGCGGGTGCTGGAATCACACTTTGAGCTCCCTGGTGGAAGTCTTGAAATAGAGGTTTCCCAAAGTTAGGGGTACCTTTGAAGGGGATGCAAAGGGATATGTAGGAATAATGGACAAGAAGATGGGGAAACTACTATTTAGGGTTCAAGGGCTCCCAAAGCTAGGGGTACCATTTTGGTACTGACCTACCTGTGGATGTTTGCCCTGGTCTGATCAGTCCGCCATCCGGCGCAAGAACGAGGAGATGAAGGAACAGCTGGAGAAGGCGGGGATAGTTTTAGGCGATGCTGGCTGAGAAGCCATGTAAAAGCAGAACTGCGCATCCTGGTGTACATGAATGGACTATAATTCAGAGTAGTACCAGAACCTCGGATTGTTTTTCTGCTGCTGAGGGGTTGTCAGCCCTGTCCCCAGGCCACAGTTCATGCCAGCTCCACCGGGCGCCTCTGGCTGCACCATTGCAGTTTACTTCGGTGTTGGCAGTACTGGACATGAGATTTTGCAAAGATGGCGAAGGATGTGCATCGGCACCATCGCATGTTGCGCCATGTTGGCAATGAGCTGGCCTCTCTTAGGATTGAGGAGTTGAAGCAGCTCTTCTTCTGCCGCTCTCCTACTGTTACATGCAGTGTTGATTTAGTGCAAACACTGCCTGCACGACATGGTTAGGAACCTAGGCCCTGACTAGGCATGCATGACGCAAGCCTATAGATGACAAACCTGAGTTGCTGTGCGCCGAGTCTATGCCACTACGCTGCAGCATGCTGTGGTTTGCGAGGGAAAGCCGCGGTCCCAGTGGTTGCAGTTCACTCTGCAATCTCAGCAAAGTTAGTCTTTGAGTGCTAATTCTCCTGAAGAAGCTGCTTTTGAGTTAGAGGGCGCAACCAACGTGGCTTAAGATTTGGGCAATTGTAGAGGGAGAGGGTGTGTGCCCTGGGCACGCCCCTGCCCGTTCCTGGCAAACACACGGTGCAGACAGTCTTTCCGCCACCTTCAGAGTAGCTGCATGAAAGTCCTAGACGGGTCCGCGAAACAGACCCTTGATTTCGCGAAGAGGGCCGTTTCTAGCCCAAGAGATATAAAATCAACGCTACACTGGTGTGTTACATTGATACTCTTGGTTTGGCTTGATTGCTGTTTTGCAACTAATGGTCGGGCAGCCGGGATCCGTGACCTAGAGCTTCGCTTGAGTTCTGCCTGATCCTCTCACTGTCTGCAGCACCCGCGTCGGCTTCTTCTCGCACATCGTGGGCTTCGGCACCCTCCTGCTGGAACCTGAGACTCCTTGGTGCGGGTGCCGTGATCATCGTGCTCAAACGCTGATGCAAGTTTACAGTTTACAGCCGCGCCAGCAGCTACTTCTAGCAGATTCCGGATGGGCCTTCAATCCTCTTCATGTCCGATCAAGACTGATCAGCTTTCGCCACGGAGAACTCTGCAACGAAATTCGGTGACCCCGCCGGCGCACAGCAAAGCTTTGCAAGCATGCTTGCGTCGTTTGCTAAGGTGGCTGCTGACAACATTCTTCAACACTTACCTCTACTTCGCCTACATGTTTGTCAGAGCCCTACTTGTCCTTGTTCTCCTGTGGTCTGAGACCGTTTGCATTTAAATCTTGTTGTTCAGAAACATGGCAATAATTAGCCCGGATTCCTTGTGATTCCTCTCTCCCTCTGTCTCACCCCGAGGTTCCGGGAGTTGTTGCCTTCCATCCCTCTGCTGCGGTACTGTCCTCAGGCCTCAGGCACCTCTGAGCGTCACCCACACCGATGTTCGTCGTGCCAGTGTAGACATGAAGCATTTGCAGCCATCAGCCACTCGCTGCTGTTCAAAATTTGCAGCCGAGTCCGTCAGACAGCATGCAAGCACAAATTCCATTGTTTAAGAGAGCTGCCACACGCGCCTCAACGGCTTTGAAACCGCGCTCTGTGGAGTTGGCATCTGAGGATGAACCCAGCTACTGTGCTGCCTGGGTTACGGTCTGTGCGGCGAAGATCTCCATCCTGCTGGAGTTGGCCTGAGGATTTTTGTACGCCTGCGAACCAGCAGCTGAAGCTTCAAGGTTTGTTTGCTTGGAAAGGGTTGGACACTTGGAGCCTCGCCTTGCCCGAGGCTGTCCTGTTCTTCTTCGTGAATGCGTCTTGGCAGCCTGCTCCACGCAGACATTGGATGCGCAAAGTGTTCAAGCTTCGAAAATATGTGGAGGGTGGCCAGGCTGCCTTGTTGACTGCTGGCAGGTGATGACGGTATTCTGCTGGGCTTCTGAGACCGTGTTGAGACTCGCCCTCGGAGATGCCTGCTCAGCCATTGCGTGCTGGCCGTCAGAACTGGACAAAGGAAAAATGTCGGATGTTGAACACCTGCTACTTGTAGTTGCAGAGACAGGGAAAGGAAAGACAGGTTCAGCCTCTTGTCAGTGCTGAAAGTGCGGATTGGTGACCGTCTCAGGCATGGATAGCGTGTCGTCCAAGATCATTTCCAAGGCGAAGGCCCATTGCACTGCCAAGAAGTTGGCGTAGAGGGAAAGTTCACAAGCTCTAAGCTGCAATGACTCTGAAGCTCACCCCAATGCGTCTGCCAACGGGAGACGAAGCAGTCACCATGCTGAGCACGCAGTTTCATGCTGATGCAAAGCAGTGCCACTTGCTGTGCTCACGTCACGGTTGGACCATCGAGGCCTTCGACAACCTTGGCCTTGGCCTCCCCGTGGCCCAGTTGTTCGTTAAGGCAGGAAAGGGTTTAGGGTTTTGGGTTTAGGGTTTAGGGTTGCGTATCCAGACAGGCATCTATTAGTTCTCCCAAATTTTATGCACATATCATGTGCGAGAAACGATTTGTCAGAACTTGGAGTGGTCCAGATTCCCTTGTGTTCCTGAAGCTTGCTGCTGTGGCCAGATATTACCCCTTTTTACTATAGTAGATTCCATTTTCTTTTCCATCATCCCAACATTACCCCTATCTAGCCCCTATCTACTAAAGTACAGATGCTCTGTTCAGTGGGAAGGTGCTCCTCTTCCGCGGATCTACGGACATGATGTGTGCACGCCTGGTCCAAGCCTAAGAGACGAAGCTCAGCCGCCTCGTGCGACTAACGCCAATCCGTGCGCACGCTGCAAACGTAGTGCACGAAGTTGGTATAGAAAGGGTTACATATATATATATATCTATAATCATAGCTAATCTGATTATTACTAGGGTTAGTAAGAATATTCTCATTATTAGCTCATTGCATGATGTGAGGCGGTCCATTTGCGCGAGAAGGATGGACTCTCTCAGGCCTTTCGTTACTAAAGCTTGCCAGAGGTGGCCACATGGATGTTTGGACGTTTCTGTGCATCCTTGTTAAATGCTGGGACACAGGCGGACACAGGCAGATACCTTGTGCTTGAACCACTATGTGGGGGACTGTCAAAATTTCGGTCCCCTTTTTAGTACCCTAAATATCAGGTGCCGTATGATAATAGGGATCCAAAAAGGGACCATAATTTTGACAACCAGCCATGTGTGAAACAAGGAGCTTGCCCAGACTGAGAGCCGCTTGGCACAGCTGAAGGCAGAGATCGAGGCGAGGGGTTGCGCGCAGATGCTGGTGAGATGGGGTTTACTGTAGACCCAGACCCCTATAATGGAGAATCAAATGGAAAACAACATGGAAAATGAAATGGAAACTGGGGTACTATAGGGGTTTAAAGAGTTTGACGATTGCCAAGCAAGTCCTGAAGGCCAAGGACAAGCAGGTGGATGCCATCAAGGCGGAGATGACCTCGGATGGCGCAGGCCGTGCGCAGCGACAATCTTCACGCAGCTCCGTTGCTTTCAAGTAGCGCTCCCCCCCCTTTGATGCAGGCAGCCTAGATCATAGCCTTGTTGCAAGTGCAATTTCAAGTGTTACAGGAGGTGCGTAGTGTACTGAGGGCAGCTTTCTCTGCTGCGTTGCCAGGCCTTGAGGCTGCCAAAACTCGCGGTGCCGAGGCGGGTGCGCTTTGCCATGCATAGGCACTGAGAGACATGCATCGGGAAGACTTTGTCCCACTCTTTCCACAAGTGGAGGTGATCCAGGCTGCTCGCGAGAAGGCCGCTGTGCTTGACCAGCAGGTGGCCGAGGCAGCCGCCAACCCTGCAAAGCCGGCATGTTTTACAGCCCCTGCTGGCTGGGAACTGGGTAGTGCTGCTCCTCAATTGTGTTTGCCCTAGAGAGGCAAAGTCCAGTCGTGAGCAGCCCTTTGCGCAAGGATTGTTTATGCATTGCTTGGGAATGAGACTCGAATGGCACAGATCAGAGATGCATTTGTCAGCAAACAGATTTCAGACAATAGTAGAAGGAGAGGGGTGCACAAATTCAAGTCATAAAGAGCTTAGTTTTGCTCAACTATTGCTCAACACGAGGTTCTTGAGTTTATGCAGCTCTCCCTTGCCTGAGTAGCTGCAAAACGTGGCTTCTAACGGGCTGTGTTTCACGAGCTCACGCAGTCGTCATGTCAGGACTCACAGGACATGCTCAACACGCTGAAGTCCATGATGGACAAGGCTTGTGCGTCCTGTCTCATGTGCCCGAAGTCTGTTCTTTGAGGCAGCCTTGCAATTCAGCTTCTCCACTTGCGTCTGCAATCAGAAACGAAGTCAAATTCAACTTCAATTCTGGTAGTCTTGAAGCCGTTTGCGAAGTTTGTGAGGCCTTCGAGGCCGCCGACGCTGCCAAGGACCAGGCCAAGCAAGCAGCAAACCAGGCTGGGCGAAATCAGAGAGAAGATCATTTCAGTTTTCCAGGCTTCAACATGCTCCGTGTTAGGGTAGGCATGGTAGGAATGAGGCACATGTGATGCGATTGTGCAGGCTGCCTCTGCCGCTGGAGACTTGGCCGCCGCAGCTGGTGAGTACGATTACAAGGGGGCTGCTGAGAAGTATGCTGGTCAGGTGGGCTGTGCAGATGCATGCTGGCATGTTTGACTGTGCCCGCGGCGTACAGATTGCATGCTTTTTGCTTTGATTGCCAGCTTTGTACAGATCTCTACGAGTTTCGGGTTGGCTGGCGCAGTGTGAGTATGAAATGGTGTCGTTGTTCCTGTGCAGTCTTTTCCTACACTGCCTCTCCATGGTCTCCGGTACATTCGTCCCGAGTCGCATCTATGTTTCTGCTGCTGCAGCAGAAGTCCCAGAGTCCAGATCTTCGCAAGAAGGCTTCATCGAAATATTTTCCATGCAGTGTGCGAAAGTGTGCGGGATGGTCCCGCCACCATGAAGGAAGCCTCAGTCTCGACTGAAGATGGATTCTTAAGTGTTCACCTCAAATATCTGTAAGCAGTTCCTTTTGACAGCTTTAAACGCAGCTCCAGCCGCTGTGCTTGAGATTTTGCGCTGATGGGCTTCCAGAACTGAAGCACAGCCATGCTGATGATTTGGGTGCATCCATGCATCAGTGGAAAAGATCTTCACGAGAGTTGGTGAACTTTGATGCTGGAGTTTCATTTCGTCACTTGTGATTTTGCATGTCATGTATTCCGGGTAGGTCTAGCACATAGCTTATGACTTCTTTCGACACATGTTTTCGACGACAGGAATAAGACGTAGGCGGAACGATTCAGGTCAACCAGAGAGCTGCATATCTCAGGGCTTCTGGTTGATGGCCAAAAGATTTTTTTTTTCTGGCCCTCGTTTCCTTGCGGAAAGCTTTTGATTAGTTGGGAGCTGCGCTGCAGGCAGCCTCTGCAGCTGGGGATTACAAAGCAGTGGCAGAGAAGTACGCCGGCCAGGCAGGGTATCTTCTTGTAGTTTTCTTCTCTGCATGTTCATGTTGCAAGCTTTTGCAGCCATTTTCAGAAGCACATAAGACCAGCTTTTCCGCCAGAGTCGAGGTCAGATAATATACCCCTGTAATATAACCCCTATATAGTTGTAGTTTCCAATCATGAGAAGAACACGGCAGGCTGCAGCAGCTGCGAAGGATGCCGCAAGCGGACTTCCTGATCATGACTACGCCGATAAGGCTTGCCAATGTTTTTTTGGTTTGATGCATCTAAGTGGGGTTTCCCAAAATTAGGGGTACCTTTTTGGGGTACCTATAATAAGGACTATAGTAGCTTGGGGTCTACATTGGGTCCCCCTATTTTGGGAAACTACCAAGTGACCCTCACAGAGGTGAAGAGCCTGGGCCAGAACTTCGGTCGCTAAGCAGGTGCGGAAGTTTAAGATCAACTGTAGATTGCGCAGAATGTGGGCCAGCGATTGCTTCATGTGAAAGAGCTGAGCAGTTCCCGTGTTTTCAGGAATCTGGTTGGCAGGCTTGTAAGGAGTCCATGCATATTTGTCAGGTCCAGCGAAGGCTGCAGAAATGCGGACCCACATGTGGACGCTCTGAAGGGGAAAATGCCCGATGCTTCAGGGCGTGTTTGTGCAACACAATGTCAGCATGTTTTTTCCACCTATACCATGTTGGCCTTCTCAGCGGAGTCGTCCAAGCAGCTTGGCGCATTTTCGCGGGAGACAAGCTTGTAGCTGAAACCAATGCTTCAGATGTACTGGCACCTGCTCCTGCACCTGTCCTTGGCATGGTGCTCGCAGGGTTTCAGATCCTGATGTTCTATCGGCATCTGGCTGCGCCAGCTTCAAGCAGTAGCTTGCGCATCGACGGAAGGAGTGTTCATGACAGTTGACACATTTGCAGGCACACCAGGCGCAGACATCTGCTTTTGATAGGTGCCCTGATACACTACACCCACCTTGGAAACACCTTTTGTGCAGCAGTCAACACAACAGCAATGTCCGCGCCGGATGCAAAGAAGACAAAGCCTGCAGGTGCCACTGTGGCATGCTTGGCGGCGAATTAATAAGAATGAATATAAACGGAAGATATGTTTCGCAAGATGTGGATCTGACCTCCCTGTCAGGAGGCTCAGTCAAGACCGCTGTCAAATCGCTGGCAGCTGGTGATGCACTCCAGCCTGACCAGGCTGGGCCCGCAAACGGAACACCTGTACAACATCTATTTCGAGCATTGCAGTGGTTTGCATATCGCAGTGACTTCTCGCAGCCTCCTCGGTAGGCTAATGCGGCCATGCGCGAGATCATGAACGGAGAGGCCGGTATCTTATAAACTTGCTTGAAAAAGCTTAATCGGCCGTAAACCAGATGAGTGTTTGCGGTTCACCGCTCTACTGTGCAAAGGCTACTCCCGCCCAAATCGGTGCATTCCTGGCGCTTCTAACGCTTCAGCCTCATGTTGGGCAAAGTACTCTCATTGGGCTGACTGACGACAGCGGCTTGCTGAGATGGCATTCACATGCTTTGTTGCCAAAGCCGGGCCTTGTCTGTAGGTTGGACAAGTGCACGCCGAGCATTGCTTGGAGCTTGGACTTGTTGCAGCCGGGGCGTGAAGCAGGATTAACCAACATCCGCGTGCTAATTTGCATGCCAGATACTTTGTTCAGGTTCATGCCTTGGCCGACGTCATGCGCAGCAACGCGCTGGCAGTGGAGGCCGTCCTCACATCATCACCTCAGAATTATTTTTTCTAGGCGCAGGAGGATTGTTTGCCCTCCGGCTCGTTGTGCTCTGATTCTGGCTCCTGCCTTGTGCTTTTTGCTTCATGCTCTTTGCTTGCTTTCTGCCTTTGTTTTCCGCTACTTTTTCTTGTGCGTTACGCTTCAGGGTTCGTTGCTTGGCTTCTTTCTCTCTGCTCTTGTCTTCCTGTAGTGTTGTCTGCTGTTTACTTTTGCATCGTGCAGTCAACTCTTTGCTTTCTGTCTTTTTCTCTCAGCTCGCTATTTTTTGCTTTGTTGGCTTTCTGCTGTTTACTCCTTGCTGGTTTCATCACCTCTTCGTCTTTGCTTATTCTTGCTGTTTGCAGTCAACTTTTGGCTTCGCCGCTTTGCTGATCGCTTTGATCATCGCTTCTGCAGTTAGCTTTAGCTTGCCAATTCCTGGTGCCCCGGGCCATCCTGACGCAGTCTAGGTGTGGCGTCGGCATCCCGATACTGGGTTGCTGTTGAGGAACTTAAGCTAATGTGCTATAATAAGGAAACCTCATTATTAAAATATTTACGATATATACCCATCATGGTGACCCTAAACCCTAAACCCTAAACCCTAAATCCCCCTATATACCTTGTATATATATCCATTATGTTATGGTAACTCAATTTATGTTCCTTAACAGCAAGCCAGGATAAGCCCTGCAGCAAGTAAGCCGAGTCAAGCCATTCAAAGCTTGCCAGCCAAGCAAAGATCCTGGAGCTTAAAAGAGCTCAGCTTGAAATCTTGTAAGCCCTAAAGCCTAAACTCCAAACCCTAGTGTAACCGCTAAAGTTTCCGCTCGGGCCTTGGAGGACCTTTCGACCTGCAGGGAGACAAGGAGCGCTTAAGAAAAAACCCTAAACCGCATAGCCCCGGAAGAGTTCTGAACCCATTCCGAATGGCAGATGGGATTCCAAATCCCTGTAAATTGCACTAGTCATCTCCCCCTGCCCCTGATGTTGAGCACCTGTCTATTCCCCAACATTACAAAGTACCTGCAAGAGATTTAAGATAGTGGGGCGGGGGCATATTCAAGAACTTCCAGCGCCTATCCCTGCAAAAAGATCCCGTAACTTCACAGCCACTTTGTGGTTCCTATGCTCCTGTCACCGAATGTCCCGAATGTTTGGAACAGCATTGGTTCCAGACGGTGTGAGTTCGGGTGTCTCTTTCAAATCCGGCTTAGTGGAGTAGCTTTGCACGTAGACCAGGCGTGCCAGCACGTTTCCTTGTTACTCTTGTGCTTGAAGCTTCCAGCAGGTCCCGCGAACTGCTGGCCCCGTTGTTGACATTGTTGGCACTGGTGGAGATGGTCAGGCACAGCTCGTAGCAATTGTGCAGTACACGTTGGGTTGTGCACAGGGGAGATTCGGGCTGGGCTGTTGCGGTTGGACTTTGAAGAGCATAATAAATCCATGCAACTCCAGGACGAATCCGGTTTGGAACATGCCATGGCATGTGTGACACGATCTGTGTTCATGCACGTGTCCAAGCGGCGGTTGCCAATGGCTTTGCAAGCTGGCACTGCCGAAGCATGCGCAATGTACCGTTTAGGATACCTTCAACATCTCCACTGCGGCTGGCCTGGTTGCCGCCGGGGCTGGGGCTGGATGCTCAGTCAGCTAAAGCTAAAAGCTTAATGATATACTGAGATTGCACTCTGGCAGATGGAAATTGCAATCAGCTAATCAAATCCGTCAGACCCCTTCCTTGTCCTCAGTTTATCAGTTGCAGCCTCAAGGCACGCATTGTGAAGCACGGAAACCGCGCAGCATCCTCCAAGAGCGGTGCAGCCGACATCCTAGAGGCCCCCCTGGTCCGTGTGCCAACTGTGGAAATAAGATGCCCTTGTATGGAACCTCCAAGCAGCCGCCCAACGAATGCGAAAGGCCTTAGGCGCAAGGCTCGAGCTTGCGCCAGCAGAGGCCCACGCTTGCTTAAATCGCTTGCAAAACATTCTGAGCTAATCCATTCCTCGGAAACTGAAGCAGGTCGCTCCAGTCCTCAACGCGGGCAGCTTTGCTTTTCTTTTTGCCAGGCAAAAGCCGCATGTGATTAGCCTGTTCGCAGTCTAGGCGAGTTTGATGCTGATTCCTCAGAGCAACATGTCACCAGTTCTCCGCTAGTGCTGTTGACCTTGTTTGTCGGGACAGCAGAAGAAAGCCGCAAAGCCTCTGCTGCTAAATTGTCCAGCGGCTAGTGAAGGAACTTGGGCCCAACCCAATCAGACTGACGGGCCGGAAAGTGGATCTTGGGCGGCCAAACATTCTCCTTGTTGAAATTTGCAGGTCTTACCATCCAGCCATGCGCCATGTTGGTCCGATCCGACAGGACCACCTATGCGTTATTCCCAAGAACAGCCGCCATTTGCAACGCCACGCGTTGTTTGTCATCAGGGAAATCATGTGCTTCCGCAGGAGCTGGGCATCCGAACGGTCATCAGCTCAGAAGATTGCCTGCTCTCGCAGGCTCTGACATGCGAGAGGTTGATTGCCAGCAGGCATGCAGTGGTTGGGAAAGAGGTCGAATCACGAAAACAGTAACAAGACCTTTCCTTGTGAAACTATTTACGAACGAACCGTGTGAGCGGCATGTCATGATCAAGGTGTTCAACATCTTGGGTCCATTGACGAATCCGGCCAGACCTGACGGCATGGTCTGCGGCCCGTGCCTGAGACAGTGCTCATGTCGTGCACAAGCAAAGACATCTTGCAAGTTTGGATGCGCAAGTAGCAAAGCTTGCCCTAGCTGGACTGCGCTCAAGTGATTCCAGACATTCCAGACATGCATGGCATTGCCGCCAAAGTCTTCATCTGGCGCAGTTGCTTCAGCTTTTGCCTTGCATGCAAGTGAGTGCAGTCCTCAGGTGTCTTCACTGCATCACTTGGGCGTTCTTTCGCAGAAGTGTTCAAGCTGCTAGGCGGCTGCAGTTTGTTTTGCTTGGAGCTGACATGAAGCACAGCTGCCCCCAATGCTGCCCCAAATCAGACCAGCAGGCATGAAGCGCGCCCTGGTGGTCCACGGCTGCGAGGGCCTAGATGAGCTCTCCATTGCTGGCCCTTCAAAGGTCACCTGGGGTTTGCCTCGTCTGGCCTCCCTGGTTTCGTTTCAGAACCAGCTGCTGCCGCTCAGACAATATTCCTGCTTCCCAGAAGTTTAGTGGTTCCAACAGTCTTGCCGCCCAGATGCAGAATCTACTACCCAAACACAGGATGTGTGCACAGCTTGCCAGACAGCTGGGTGTCCCATCAGCTAGTTCGCAGGTCTGGGAGTTGAAGGAGGGCGGTGAGATCTCGGAGTACGAAGCCGGCGCCGCAGCAGGGTCAAATGAAAGTGTGGGTTGCTGGGTTGCTGGGTTGCTGTCCCCAAGCACTCCTCAAACCTGAAGCATCCGGGATGCTTCCGGGAGATTCTTACACTCATGTGGTCCAGCAGCTGGTACGACTCTGGATCTAAGGGCTTGACAAAGTGCAAACTCAAGCTCAAGTTCTTGTTTTTCATATCGTGGAATGATCGACAGCGCCGCGGATCTTCTCGTTCCGACGTACCTGGCATGGTTTGTATTTTGAGGTCCTCCTGATCAAGGAAAGCACCTGTTATCAGCCGCCTTCTCTCCTTGGCCTAATTAGTCCTTGTCTTAGTTGGAATGCTGGCTTCCTTGAGGTTCGTCCTGAGGACTTCGGCGTGGGGGCACATCCTCTCTCCGAGGCACGGTCTTTTGAAAGCGCTTTGAAGATACACGTTTCACCGATACCATCCGATAACTTGTAGCATGGAGAGGGATGCAGCCTGGTTTCCGTGAAGGTGGCAGGGAAGACGCCAGAGGAGAATGCCATTGAGATGCGCGAGCTCCTTGCCGGAGGGTCCCGCAAGCTTGCCTTGCATTGCTCAGTGCTTTCTGCGGCAAGGATTCAGAAGTCACATAGGTTGCCAATATCTAGTCATGGTTGGGATGGCTTCGGCGCTACGTTTCAGCCGTGCAGGGGCCGCCTCGCCGTCCGCGAGATGGTGCTCATGAATGCAAGCGCTGCTCTGTACATTGCTGGAAAGGCTGGAATGCAGTTCAACCTAAGAGCATCCAAAAGCCATGCCATTCTCATCTGGTGAGCAGAACAGGTTGCATCTATTGACATGCAGGATTGTTGGATAAGCGTGATGCCTTGCAGCTCATGGGCAACCTCTCGGAAGGTGTCGACCTTCAAGGAGGGCACTGCAGCGGCCAAGGCAAGACGGTCTTGTGTGTTTGGGCTTCAGATCTTTTCTTGTCCTTGCTCCTGGTTGAAGCAGGGTGCACGTCGTCTGGTGGTGATTGCAGGTTGCACTTGGAAACGGCGCAGCTGTAAAGACGCTTGATGCTTACGTTGCCGCTTCGAAAGGCGCAGACCATCTTTGGATTTACTAAGCCGCAATGCGCTCTGCTGGGGATGCTAGGGACTGGGACTGGACACATGAGGACATGAAGACGCTGTGACTTGTGAAGTGTCAAGATCCGATGCAGACGAGTCAGAATGTGGTCAGGACATAATTGCTCGTGTCGCACGGAAGCTGATATTGTAAGACTTCGTGCTTTGCGGAGGCGGCAGCTGAGAGGCTAAGCAGCCTGGCGAGTGAACCGTTGAGCTTTGCCAACATTCACAAACTGATCCTGCCAGGTGGCTAGATTAGAGTCGGGTAGGGCTAGGGGACATGCACGCAGTTGTGGAAGTTCAGCGGTTCGAGCGGGATTTAGCCGTCCAGCTACGGTAACCACTGCTGGAGTGTGAAGGCGTCCATCCAGCCCGACTGCGCAGGAGTTCAGGAGTGGTACTACCATCGAACTTTCAGATCGGCATAGCAACCCACCTTCTCAGTCGTTTTCAGGACATGTGGCTTCCTACACTCACTACTCATGACATGGCAAAATGTCCATGCTACTCGGCTCCGCTGGCGCAGCGGGACGCTCCAATTCTTTAATCTGTTTGCTGGAACTCTGCCGCGCGCCTGCTTTTTCCAGCGTCAGAAAAGACGACGCGCGACATGTTGAAAGGTGTATAAGTGAGTATTGCTTGCAGCGTTACAAGGCGCCCCCGGGTCCAGCCCCATTCGCTTTGTCGAGCAACGAAAACTCCAGGGCAGCATGCAGCCAAGGAACAGCAGCTCCGCCTTAAATCAGGAGCAAGAAAATCCTGAACCGAATCTAGATGGAGCACCCTGCCTGTGAAAGAAACATGCAATCCAAGTGGATAGCTTTAATTCGTGCTCTAGTTCACGCGTGAAGATAAACTAGCGACTGGTGCCATAGTCGAATCCGCATGCTAACCCAATCCATAGCAAGGAAGCGTACTCTTGTCTGATGGTCTTGGGCAGCTGCAGCTGAACCGCACCCTGGACCGTGCAGGCAGCGGGCATTTCCGCATGCAAGCATTTACCTCAACAGCCGCACGCTAAGCAAGAGCCCTTCCTGAATCATGACAGTACTTAGCTAAAACCCTTGAATCTGGACGACAGCAAATCTTCAATCTCGGTGCACCTGTGTCCATTGCAGGCATGCGGCAATGCTGGAAGGTGGGATTCCTGTTTCCAACACATGGTGATATCCCAAAATGGGGGGACCCCATTATGGACTCAAAATGCTAGAATCCTTATTGTAGGGAACCCCAAAGAGGTGCCATCGTTTTGGGAAGCCCGAACATCATTCAGCACTTCTAGTTCCCTGGAGAGCACGAGTGAGCTTTGAATTGTTCTCTCTGGCATACTGTAGTAGTTTCCATTTTCCTTTCCATTATCCCGTTCTGATCTTTGGCTGAAAGTGCTAGGCATCGGCAGCTTGGCTCCTACTTGTCCTGGTACGGGGCCTAAACGTGGCCCAGAGGGCCCATTATCCTCACTTGACCTTAATATAACCCATATATATATATATATATACACCCTATTATATAATAGTAGTTTCCATTTCATTTTCTTTCCATTATGCCAAAGTTGCACATAATGTTGCAGTATGAGCATTCATGCTTCTGCGCAAATAGCAATATGATTACCGTTCTCAACAAAGTAACCATGAGATCTCTTGCAACACTACCTATGACTCTGCATCAACTTTCAGGTATTCGGGGTTTCAATCCAATGCGTTGTTGCCATACGCCATTTGTGACCCTTCCCTTTGCTGGAACTCATATAGTAGCTTCCATTTCATTTTCCATTATCCCAATATACTCCCTATATTACACCCCTATTACACCCCTATATAACCCCTATATTACCCCTATGCAACCCCTATATAACCCCTATATTACACCCCGATATAACCCCTAATTTTGGGAAACCCATTGCTCCCAGGCATTGCCTCGAGCTGGGCAGGTTCAGCCGGGTTCAGTCGTGTTGCAGTACCATCCCAGACCCCCTAAAGGATCCAAAACATGGAACCCCCACAATATGAACCCATTACTACATTGGGGAAACTAGGGGATTATTAGGGGGTTCCATTTTTTGGATCCTTTAGGGGGTCTGGGATCATGCAGCTGCTACTACTCCCTGCTCCTGCTGCTGTTTCTATCACTGCTCTCCTGTGAGTTGCATGGGTAGACATCGTAGTGGCAACCTGCGAGCGACAATGATGAACAAACGACAATGATGAAGGAATCGGCAGTTAGCTGAGCTAGGAGACGCTTACTGCATAGTCGAAAGCTCCAGCAGCTGAATTTCAGAGTACATGCGCAGGTGTTAGCACCATGCAAGATGACTTCAAATTCCCGCAGACGTATCGCAGGGGAAGTTCTGTCAAGGGTTGAGACAGATGTGAGCGCTGGGTTTCAACATGTGCTGCAGAAGACCGCGAGTGCACAGCTAGCCGTTCTGGGGCAGTTGCACGTCGTAAAACGTTGGTACCGACATCTAGCCACTTCAAAGATGACGCACAACATCATGGCAGAATTTGTTGCCCTTCTTTTTCTCTTTGCATTGTTTGGTAGTCGTCCTGTAAGGGGTTAGCTGGCACTGTTGGCCAAGACCCAAATGCTCAGCCGCTGGACTAACCACTTGTCTTGATAGCCAAGGTTGAACATTTTCAAGCATTGGGACAGCAAAGGGGTGCATGTTTCGGGTTTGTGGTGACAATCCCTTCGCGTGTAGCTATGTGCTTTGCAGGGTGAAGAGCCCACTGATGAGGAGCACAGCTGCTTGTAGGTCAGAGTTGTGTGATGTGATGAATCCTACAGTTCAACAGAGCTGAAAATAGCCCGTTGGGACGCAATTCTGGAAGCATATGTCGACCCTCAACGAATGACTGCCTGTGCTGTGGGCTGCCAACAGGAGCTTCTGGGGATGTTCGATCCACTGATGGTACCATGGTGGCAGCAAGCAGGCTTTCAATCGTGTGGGCTGGTCGTCAGCTAATCGTACCGAACATGCCGCTACTTGATGTTGACATAATCAAGGATCAGTTCATGCTATCGTACGTATACTTTTTAGCACAGGGAAGAGTGATCCAAAAGATTAAGCAATTTTGGCCGGGTGGTCTGATGAACTCAGTGAGTGTCTGTGTAAATCAAGTATACAACAGTCATAACGGAGTGAAAGGCCTGTGTTAGAGAAGACCGCAGTAGTCAACAAAGCACTCTTGAACACAGTCCAGATGTGGGTTGTTCTCAGAATCATGGACCCCTTTTGGTTTCAGACTATATTTCGGCACCTCATATTCAGGGATACCAAAATGGTAGCCTAATTTTGGGAACTGCCGTAACCCTTTACCCTAAATAGTAGTTCTAGTAGCATTTCCAAGGATTAACCTGTGGAGAAAATGTTCCACAAAAAAAGTAGCTTCCATTTTCTTTTCCGTTATCCCTATATAACCTCCTAAATAACCCTATCCGACATTGAGGCCATGGCCATGGGCAGGCCACCAGCCAAAGTAGTGGTTCCTTTTCCTTATGAGCCAATTTTAAGCCCCCTAAGGCCAAAAGAAGGGCTATAATTGGGAACAAGTACCAGGTATATGTTGGTTCCCTGACATCCCAAAGCGACGGGCTTTGCGCTTGGGATTGGAGAACGTGGGATCAAACGTTTAAGAGGCTTGAGCGTCAGCTCTGAGTTTGGGAGTTAGGCAGAGTTTAGGGTTTAGGGCTGAGGGTTTACGGTATTAGGGTTTAGGGCTGAAGGTTTACGGTATGAGTTTTGAGGGCTGAGGGTTTGCGGTATTAGGGTTTGGAGCTTGGGGTTTAGGGTGTAGGATTTAGGTTTTAGGGGGATCCCTCAAAAATCCGAAAATGCCGGTCCTGGTCCAAAGCAAGCAGCAAGCCAGTACTTGTGGTTGTTGATGACCCTTGGATTTTTCCGATCTGTGGCGATGTTCCGGAAGCCGGGCATCCTAGGTACCCCGCTCCCCTAAACCCTTGATGTCCTTCATTTGGCGGGACTCCCAACATAAGGCCAGATGAACTTTGACAAGCTTTCAAGTATTCCTGCCTTCAAGAGAGTGGCACGATTCCGAGCATGACTATACATGATCACTGATGAATCTTTGAACATTCTCCTGATATGTTCCCCCAATATTATGGACATGATGTGCGTCGCTCCAATACTGCAGCATTCAAAGATTCTTTCGCGTATGCTGTGCATTTGGAATGCTCTCGTCTGTCCATGTTTTGCAAGTTGGGAGGCTGAAGCGCTTCTTTTGTTTTCTCAAAGCGTGGTGTGACTTCAGACATGACCTGGTAGTTGAATAATCCCTCTCACCTGTAAACGTTCAGAAAATCAGAGAGCCTTTCTACTTCCAGTGATCTGATACTAAGGGGTGCGTTGGTTTTTCATATGCTGCTGAAATCTGCCGTTGCAGGTAGTTGCAGCGTCTAAAGCATTCCAAATTCTGTAGTTTACAGTGTTTCTAGTTCTTGAGAGGCAGTTTAGTACAAGTAACCACCATATTCATTGAGTGGTAGAGAAACAAGACAACAGACCAAACATTCTTTTGCTGAGATTTGAAGTTGCATTCCCGGACCTCAAAAACAGAAACATGCTGCGCATCCTGGATCCTAGGGCGAGATTGAGGTCTGGAACGTGTAAGCCCGGCTACAAACTGTCCGTATCATCTTTCTCTTGTTTTGGTTTCATCAGTATTCTTTTGATTGTCATGCTTGCTCAAAGCTACAGTGCTGTCGCGACCATTGTTTGTACTCTTGCTTACACATTTGTTGTCTTTTGCTGCATGGGTCCAGGGCATTGAAGGGTCTAGCAGTTGCTTAGCTTGTGAAGACCTCTCATGATTGGCTTTTTGCTGCTGCCTTGATTGACTGTTCTAATCATGCCCTTTTTCCTGTGGGATGCCAGGCTTTCAGCGGATGCTTACTGCGGGACGCCAGACCGCGTTAGTCAGGACGACAGGTATGGAGTAGCTCTGATCCTTCTCGCTGTAATGGAAGGAGGAAGAACTTGCATTCATGGAGAGAATTGTTCCACAGAATGTGCCAGAACAACTTGGAATGTATAGTTCAAACCTAAAGTCATGCTAGGTGAATAGCAGCAGCCTTGCTTTTGGATTTGGGAACGGGTGTTGTGTCTGCATGGAGAAGGTGCAGCGGGGCTGTTGTTGTTGGCACTAGGCGGCATACTAGGGC